TAAAAAACTGACAAATATTTCCATCTCCATATTTATACTATATAGTAGGTAACACACATAATTTTGACTATTTTTTTATTTTCACTTATTAAATATGAGCAGGGTATGAGGGAGGCCAACTACCTATGAGGTGGCTTTCTAGGAACGCTGCCTATTAAAGGTACTCCATACTGAATAGTAGCAAATAAAATTAATTATCTTTTTTGGACACAGGAAGCCTACATAATCAAGGTGAACAAAGAGAAGGTGGGTCATCCTCTGAGCTAAGTTACTGATTCTCGGAGGGGATGAACCCTCAAATGCCATCTCCTCCAAGAGGCCTTCCCTGGCCATCCTATATATCACATTACCCTGGTTATTTTCTTGTTATTTATCTTATTACAGTTACCAGCTGTGTTACCTTGAGAATGTTACTTTTATGTGCCTGAATTTCCTAATGAGTAAATGCTGACAATACTTACACTGTACCTCATAGTACTGTGACGATTAAATGAGATAATACATATTATATGTTTAGAACAGTGCCTAATACACAGTAAGTATTTCTTACCTGTTAGCTATTCTCATCATGATCAGTTTGCTTGTTTATTGACTATCTCCCTCATTAAAATACTAGGTTCATGAGGGGTAGGCACTTATTTGTCTTGTTCACCACTACCCTCCCATTGCCTAGTATATATAGGCATAGAGTAGGTGTTCAAAAATAATTAGTGAATGAATGAATTCATGAATGAATGCAGTCTTATGTTCTCAGGTATCCTTAAAATAAACCTCTGTCAATGAAGGTACTTCATCTGTGTACTTCTTTTCCTTACAACCAAAATAATCATTAACAAAACTTCACCAAAAAACTAAAATCATCATTTAAAAATACAAAAACAAGACACTTGATCACAAGAAAGAGCCCTCCTGGGCTCACCAGCCAAGACCACAGAAGACCATTCTTTTCTATATTAGTGTGGGGAGGTCAAGCTCCCTGATGCCACAGTGTTGTAACTATCAATTTAGCCTATGAAGGACAGTTCCCAATTGTGACAGGAATTCTCAAATTTCAGCCTGTTTTTCTCTCATCATTATTTTCCAATGTCTTAAAAAGCCACATTTCTCATTTTATCTTTACCACAAAAATCTGGTCACACTCTGCTGTGGTTTCTAAGTTACAGCTAGTCTAGCCTCATTTTCTTGGATGTATTTCTTCAGAGGTCCTGACCTGGTGCTGGCACTTGGTCTATTCTTGGAGTAGCACCTCTAAATATTAATTCCTTTTACCTTCCACTGGTTCAAGGACAACATTCAGAGGTAGAGGTCACATGCAACATTAAAAAAAGTCCTCTAGGATTTAGTATCCAGAGTGTCTAGAGGAATATGATCTACAGAGCTCACAGCCTTACAGACATCCACACCATACAGCTCAGCCACTCCTGTCTGACAGTTTGTCCAAATTTGCTGGAACAATCATGGACTTGTTTAAAAACATCAACAACCAAGGGGTGACAGCACAGGTGAGAGGGCAAGCAGATCCAGAGAAGAAAATCAGCAGAAAAGCATTCCAAAAACAATTTCAAAGAGTACTTTTATCATTATTTAAAGGAAAATCACCCATAATTAAATGCATGAAAATCTGAAGGTGTGAATCTGAAACTGTGAGACGTTAAGTGCACAGTTTAACATATTTTAAAATATCATGCTTCCTGCTATTTAGAGCCAGTTCCAATTGTACCTCCAAAAAGGCCAATACTAAACATTTAAATGGCAATGAACTAAGGTCACCAGACAAGGCTATGTAATAAGCCTGTGGAGTATAGTTCATAAGGGAGGATTCAAGAATTGTAGAAATTATAGCTAGAAGAGACCTCAAAATATTATCTGGTTAGGCCTGTTGGCAAGGTTGCGGAGAAAAAGGAACTCTCATACATTGTTGGTGGGACTGCAAAATGGTGCAGCCTCTATGGAAAATGGTATGGAGGTTCCTCAAACAGTTGCAGATAGATCTACCATATGACCCAGCTATCCCACTGCTGGGAATATATCCAAAGGAATGGAAATCATCAAGTCGAAGGTATACCTGTTTGATTTCTTTTTCTGCTAGTTTGTTATTGGAAAATAAAAATACTACTGATTTTTGAGAGTTGATTTTTGTATCCTGCAACATTACTGAAATTGTTTATCAGCTCTAGGAGTTTTTTGGTAGAGTCTTTAGGTTTTCCTCTATATAGGATCATGTCATCACTGGCAAATGGGCAGTTTGACTTCATCTTATAAGCATCAAACAGTTGGTCTTTAACCCCAGTCGAAGAGCCATTGCTTTGATCGTGTTTGTTTATTCATTAAACTGCTGTGGTTAGAATAGAACCAGATCTGATCATGCCAGAGCTCAATAATATTATTAATAAGATAAATGACTAACACAATCACCAATTAAGTATATTTCATTTTTTGCAAACAGCATTTTGGTTCATTTTGAGAAATAATTTGGAGACCATTCAGTCTAACTTTCCAGTCAATTTATAAGAATCCAAAATTCTTGTCAATTAACTTTAGTTACTTGCATATATGTGCCCCTCCCCACCCCATTACTCTGCCTCTTTCCAGGAGTATTTGTTATCCTGAATTTTGTGTTTGTTTACCCTTGCCTTCCTTAGAATAATTTTATGACATATGTATTATGCTTGAAAAATACATTAATTAACTGTGCTTGTTTTTAATATTACCAATAATGGTATCATATTGTACATTGTCTTTGTATTGCTATTTTTGTTCAATATTATATTGCTGGACATATATTTTAGAATTCATTCATGTTGTTGCTTGTAGCTACAGTTTATTCATCATTACTAGTGAAGATACTCTACTGTGTTTACTATCTAACAATTTATTTATTCATTCTCCTGTTGATAAATATTTGTCTGGTTCCTAGATTTTTCTGTTATAAATAATGCTGCTATGAAAAGTTTAGTATATTATTTCTTGGTGTATGTGGGGAAAATAGGATAATTTAGTCAGGCTCTCTGGACATTTCTTGTAAACAGGTTGTGTGAGGGTGGACTTAGTGTGCATGTGCACCAATGTATCTTTCTAGTTAATTGCTATTGTGTGTTCTTCAGTTTGTGAAGCAGGCTGGCCGGCAGAGAGCTTATGTCTAAAAACAGAGCATGTTCACTGGCTGAGCGAGGCACGGGAGTAACACCGAGGCTTGCGATCCCGTTGCCGGTCCCCGGTCCGGTACGGGGGCAACACTAAGGGTTGCGATCCGTTGCCGGACTCGGAAAAAAAAGACAAAAAGCCAAAAAGCCAAAAAAAAAAAAAAGCTACCTACAGTCGATAGCATTCTGAAACAGTTATAAGCCTTACTATTGGTTCTCTAGAGTGCAGTATCAGTTACATAGATCAGTGGGTTCACTTTTGGAGTGCTAGACACATGGTATACAGCTTCATAAATTACAGAATATAGAACTTTACCAAAAAGAATCTACAACAAAGAGAAGAAAAAAAAGAAAACAGTCATTATAACAAGGTCAAGAATAAGAGTAGAAAGTACACAATAACTTAAAATACAGATACAGCTGTAGATTCAGCAAATATTTATCTAACATCTATTATATGCTAAGAATCATGCCAAGTACTGGGAATACAAAGATGAAGAAAAAATGAAGCTTACCCTCAAGGAACCAGTGTAATAGGGAGAAGACTTACAAAGGAGATGGAGCAAGGGATGGGGGAGTAACAAGAAAACAGCAAGGAAGAAGCATTACCCTCAGCAGAGTCATATTTCACTTGGCAAGGAGCCTCAAGAGTGCTGGTGTAGATTAAATGGCCTAGAAACTTGACCCCTAGGCTTGTCAGTTCTGTAAAAGCAAGCAAGGCTATTCAATCTCAGTCTTCATTCCCTGCCTACCTCATTTGCTTCAGCCCACACCATGAGAACAAGTAAGATTCCTTTCTCTACTACATCCTCCTTTAGAAGACTGAGAGAAAGGACCAGCTCTCCTCCCATAAAGCTTGTTTTTCCCAGGAACTTAAAATTCAAATCCATAAGAAATCTAGATTTTATTTACAGGAACCTCCAGCTCAGCAAAAGAGTACAGAAAGTCAAGTATTCCCCTAACAGCAGCCCAAGATTAGGCCATTAGAATAGCTGTCTAATCTTCAAGGAGCCTCTGGAGATCAGAAAGGAAAAAAAAAAATCTATCTTCAAGAAAGATGAACTTGAGTTCATGATTCACTGAAAATTGAAGCCTGTAAAAGGGTACCTATCCTTCCTGTCTTAGACTGTTCCCAATAAACCAGTAAAAAAGGAAACAGAATTCAAATAATTATATGTATGTAATGGCATATTTACAACAAAATAAAAATAATGCTGTGTATTTCTTTAGCGCATACTTTCACGAAGACTAAGGAGTTTTAAAGTGATTATCTTATTCAGCCTAAAAACAGTTCAGTGATATTCAAAAAGTAGTAATCATTATGACTTTTACACACATCTAGCATTCTTTGCAAAGAAGCATGACTCTTCAAAAATATAATCCATGAAAAACATCTCACTCTAGAAATACTCTTAAATTATTAAGTGATTGACAGAACATCCTGTAAAAGGAAAACTGCAGAGGAACATCATCTTAAACAATTCTATGAGAAAAGCCAGCCATGAAAAACACAGGCTAAGTAAACATCAACTAAAGGAAATCAGAGTGAATATTTTGAATAAAAAAGACAGTTTAAAATTATAAGAGGGACCTAAAAAAACAGACCTAATAGATCAAACACACAGTAGTTAAGCTACTATAGGCATGACCATTCATGAGACATATCACTGGACAAAACCAGCTGCACCAAAGGCATGCTCCAAAACATGTTTGGGCAGCCCTAGACCAACCTAACAAAACTAAACATTCACTGCCACTACATAATCAACATTATCCTGTTCTATTCTCCATGTACCCTGCTTGCTTCCAACTGCCTCCTCTGAGTTCACCCTATTAGCAAAGCATTCATGTACTTACTATTCAGTGAAGAACCTGGCAATGCCATATTGGCTAATATCCTCCCTGTTCTCTAGCAGCTGGCACACTGCATCCTCCATGTACGTGAGGACATGTCGCTGAGCTGCAAACAAAAGCAAGAGAGAAAGAGAAAGTGAGAGCAATTAAAATAAAAAGTTCTCCCAATCCCAGTAGGAGGCCATGTAAGTCAATCAAGGAGTTAGCTCTGCCCTAAAAAGTGGAATGGAATAGGCAAACCAACCTTGCTGGCCCTTACTGAGCTATGCTCTCAAAGGGTAGAATAGGAGATAATGTAGACCATAACCTACTGCCATCTGACCGGCTGTTAGTATCACCATCAACCCTTCATTCTTTCAGAGATGAGGGTGGGTTGAAGAGGAGCTTTGGCATTATTTAGCAGATACACCTGGAAGTTCTTTTCTTTTCACCTCCTTCCACCCTCTTTTACTTTTTCATGTCTCAGAAACTTATTCCAGGAAGTTAGTGATTCCACGCCTGAAGCGTGGATGATCTGATTGTAAAGAAAACTCAGTTCTTTCATTGAAAAAAAAGACACTGAAAAAGTTTAAGGACCATGAAAATTTCAGTACTGGTGTATGTGTAAGTTATTAACCTTGGTAAATAACAAGACCGTGAAATCTGCATGGCTCAATTTGTTAGATATCATCTTTTCTGCATTTGTTGTGATTAGGAAATGTATGAATTAATAATGCGCTTGTAATAAGGAGTGTGAGTATTAGGGTTAGACAGACCTGGGTTTGAATCATGGCTCCATCTTTGGTAGCTTAATCTTGGAAAGTTACTTAATCAGCACCTGTTTTCTTTTTTATCAAGAGTGGAAAGCAATATAAATTAATACTGTGCCTCAAAGAATGATAACCAACTTCTTGATCTGAATCACCTGAGGTGCCCTGTTAAAAATGCAGACTTATAGTCTGGCACCATTCCAGACTTAGTGACCTTAAATTTCTAACTGGATCTCTATAATTTTTAACAAATACCCATGGTGCTTCTTATGTATTCTGAAGTTTAGGAATCACTGGTTAAGAACTTGGGCTTTGGAGTTGAGGCACCTGAGTTCCATTCTCAGCCCTACAACATCCTAGCTGTGTGACCTTGAGCAAATTACCCTCTAAGCCTATTTCCTCATTGTAAAATGTGGATAATAATAGTACCAACATTATAGGGTTATGAGAATTAAATAAGATAATGCATGTAAAACACCACAGTGCCTAGCACATAGTACATGCTTGATAATATACTTTCTTAACCTATCTCAAAGGGTTCTTGGGGGGTTGCTTCAATAAATATAGGCCAGAGCTGCTCATGTACCAGGTGCTCCAAAAATGCTTCTTTCCATTCCATGAATTTTATCAATGATACCTTTGACAACAGTATTCTGGCAAACTTTACCATAGCTTCCAATCCCGAGTACCCATTTACCATCCAAAAATTTAAAAAAAACAAAAAACACTTCCTTCTAGAGCAATGAGAAACAAAAAAGCCAAAGTGATCGTAAAGCTATGTGACTAGCTACATGACTACGTCAGTTGTCGGGATGAGGCAATAGCTACACTAATTGTACGGCTAGGCATTTCATAACTAAAGCCAAAACGTTTCATTATTTTAGTTATATTAAGTTTCCATTTGTATTGTCAGTGCTAGGGCTCAGACCCTTCAAAACCACTGTACAGACTGGGTCACCAGACCCCTCACACACAGGTCCATGCTGGATAACTGGGAAAGATCCCGGGAGCCATTAGCAGACAACATGAGCTCAGCAGCAGCTTACAGTAGCCTGCAGAAGCAGGGATGGCAGGCTCTGGGAGGGTCCTGGGGGCACTGGCAGCAATAGCTTGCTGCAACTGCCTCCAGCAGCAGTAGCGGCCTCCCCCATAATCCCTCCTGGGGACATCCCAGGGCCGAGAGGGGGCCCAGTGGCTTAGAGCCGCTCGTCCTTTATAGTTAAGTCCATAACCCAGGACACCTGGGTGCACACATGAAATTACATTAGTCAATAGCCAAGGAACACCTGGGCACACGTGCCTATTTACATCAAGTACTCAGCAAGATTCTGAACATCTGAGGGACCCTGACCATTTTCCTATATTTTCCCAACAGTGATGAATATCCTGCCAAAAAGCAGTTCCATAAAGTTGCTGCCAAGGTGAACATTTGCCTCTTTCACAGTTTCACTCCTCAAGAAAACATTGAGGAATTACCTAAAATTTATCAAATTGGGTGCTTCAAAAAACTATTCCTGAAGTCTCTGTAGTTTAGTGAAACTCATAAAACAAATAAGTTTATCTACCAAGCTGAACTCGAGTCTTCTTGACAATAGTGACCATGGTGACCTAATTTCACCACGATTGCACAGCCTAAAGCCCAGATGAAACATGTTTATATTCCGTGACTTGTTCTATCTACAAGCGTACTTCCCAAAGCTAACAACTATCAACCACTGCAAACCATCACTACCCCACCCAAAAAAGATGTGAAAACAAAATCAATGCTTCATCAACTCAACAGTTCATCCAACTCTAAAACCACTTCTTTAAGAAATAACCAAGGAGGCTAGCTGGTTAGCTCAGTTGGATACAGCATGGTGCATAATGCCAAGGTCCAGGGTTTGATCCCTGTACCAGCCAGCCACCAAAAAAGAAAGAAAGAAATAGCCAAAACTGAGAGAGTTAAGCTATGAGACAATACATGCCAATTTCTGGCATTAATGGTTTTCCAAGTACCACTTGGTATAATTAAGTTTAAATTAAATTGGGAGGAAAATGGCCAGATTAACATTAAAATCAGCTATATTGTCACCTCTGTATTTTCCTTCTTTTCTTCTACCCACTTATCCTGATCTTACAAAAAGATTCCTTTCTAGGGCTATGTGGCCTTTTATGATTTAGCTCTACCTAAGGCTAGTACAGGACTTTTTCTTTTTGATGGTAGAAATAAAAGTGGTCTGCTAAGGAGCAAATTCTGCTGCTTCTCCTCCCTAGCTCTTGGACTGAAAGTCAATGCAAAAGCCCTTTAAGAAGAAATGTTTTTAAAGCAGTTAGAATCAAAGTACTTTTGTCCTCCTAGGAAAAAAAAAGAAATTTTCTGGAAAATAAACTTTGCACCAAAAAAGGAAAAAGGAAAGAAAGAAAAGAAAAGAAAGAAAAATAAAGGACCATACCTGCTTAACATTTATCTGCCAATTAGATATTTAATCTTACAAGTAATAATAGCTACCACTGTTGAGCTCCTGTGCAATTTATAAACAAAAATGTGCAAGATACTGTGTTGTTTTACATGTATTATTTTATGTAGTTATCACAACAATCCTATGATAGGTATTTTTATACTTTTATTTTACAGATAAGAAAATTGAGACTCACAGAATTAAAGTAATTTGCTCAAGATTACACAGCTAGTAGGAAGAGAAGTAAAGATTGGAACAAAGGTTTGTCTGATACCAAGAGCCCATGCTTTTAACACACTGTCTCATCAGTAACACTTTATAATCAGTTATGGAAGTAAAAATTATCTCCATTCTACACAGAGCACAAAGGTATTAGTGTATGTTGATAGTAAAATCACCTAAGAGATATGAGCCATTTGTATCTAGGTTAATTTGTATGTGGAGGGATAGGTTGGTCTATCTGTCCTGTCCACACCTGCACACCAATCAGCATTTGTGTGAAGTTAGAACTTGTTCCCAAATTTCAAAGTTTCTTAAAAAGAACCACCCTACCACAAACTATTCACCCCACCCATTCCCAGTTCACAAAGTGAAAATAGAAAGTCCTGGCGCTCTTTTTATCTGTGAGTGAAGGGAAGGAGTTAAAAAGTCAGAAGTAGGGAAAAGTTTCTCCCTGCGGATAATTTCACACCAGCCAACACCCAAGTGCAAAGCTCTAATTGCTGTTCCTTGGTGGTTCCTTCACCTGCAGCTTTATCAGTCCAATGTTACCTCTGTGGTTAAGTGTACCACCCAACCCTGGAAAATCCTTACAGTTTATCAAACTTCAATGAAACAGAAGTTCAAAGCTCTTGCCTGGCAATAAAACATGAGAGTGTCGTTTTATATTATTTTTTAAATGCAAAGGAATAAGCTTTAATTTATGTGAATGATTAAAGAATAAAAACAGCACACCTGCACCCCTGGAGGGCAAAGATATCTGGGCACCTAAACTGCCCTCTTGGAAAAGCATTTACAATTGGCTTTTCCTCTTCTGCTTTGCTATGACTTCCATGAGATCAGGATTAACTTTTTTAACATGTACCAATAAGGCTCTATTGTCCTGAAATCCACACTAATGCCCCATCAGCCATGTCTTGCTCAGATAGCATATTGTCTGAGATAAGCATTTATAACTTCATGCTGTACCAAAAAGTCTAGGGGGAATGTAAGTAAACACTGTATGATCCTTATATGAACCTAGCAAGTGAAGGCAACTGTGGATCAGAAACTTCTTGGTTCTGTTGACTCTCCCCAAGCTAATCACTTAATCTTCTTATACCAGAGTCACTCCTGTTTTAAAATGGGTATGATACTAAGAATATGTTTGATAATAACCTACTTCTTTAGAAAACATTCAGTATATACAAAAAGTAACAAATTAATTATTGCTACACACTCACTCACAGATTAAAAGTGCATAGCAATTTACTGCAATGGTTAAGAACATGGGCTCTTGAGTCAGGCCAACCTAGATTTGATTTCTAGCTCTGGCACTTACTATAAGACTTTATACAAGTTACCTATTCTCTCTGCCCTTTCCTGTAAAACTGAGGCAATAACAGTACCTACCACTGAAGACTGTAGTGAGGATTAAATTAAATAATCTATGTAATAAATCTTAGCATAGTATTTGGCACATAGTGAGTGCTTAATAAACATTAGTCCCTTACCCATTTATTTAAAGTCCTACTCATCCAACCAAGAATTTTTACAGATTATCTTCAAGGATTCTTGGGCTATATAAAACTCTACATCTATAATAATACACATAGTCATATAGCCATTTCAGCTATAGCCTTTAAACTTGTGGGAAACGGGGGAAAGTCCAAAACGATTTCTTTTTACTCTCTTCCCAAGCAGAAATACTATCAAAG